GCCACTTCTCAATCCACCTTACTCATCTAACCCACATTTCCTGAGCTTGATTTTACTGGAGACAGTGTCAAAAGCCTTGTTGTAGTCAAGATAGACAAATCCATTGCTCTCCCCTCTTCCTAGACAGTTCTTCCATCATAGAACGGTATCAGATTGATTAAACATGATTTCCCCTTGGTGAATCCATGCTAATTACTCCTGATCACCTCTTGTCCTCCACGTGCTTAGAGACAACATCCAGGATGAGTTGTTCCATCACCCTTCCAGGAATAGAGGTGAGGGGGGAAGCTGGCTGGCCTGTAGCTTCCTGGGTTCTCCTCCTTTTTTGAGGACTGGAGTGACATTGGCTTTCCTCTAGTCCTCAGGCACCTCTCCTGTCCCCAGTGACCTTCAAAGATGATGGAGAGTGGTCCAGGAATAAATATCAAGAAAAATAAAAACAAATTCTTGCTTGTTTTTAGGACAGTTCTATAAGAACTAGGCTTATTTGATAATGGATTTGCGTGTGCAGAGCATATAGCATATAGCTGTTGGTTTGAATTCATTGCTCTGAGTTATGAAGTCACTGTAGGTTTCAGCAAAATGGATATTCAGATGGAAGAGGCTCTACTGGAGCCTTCTCTGAACCTGAGAATTGAGCTGAACCCTCTTTAAGACTTCAGAAGATGCACAAAGAAGAGCTACATCAAAGCACAACAGTATTAAAAAAGTCTTTGTTGTTCTGCCAGTCATAGAAGCACTTGGGAAAGTGAACATGTCCTGGTGCCACTTGGAACCCAGTTGCCACTGGTTGCTGGGGCTGTTTTGCCTCATGTGAGTGGTGGCACGTCTTTCTGCAGGCAGATCTCCTCACTTACTCATCGCCATCTCGAAGGAGATCTGAGCCCTCCGACATCCTTCCCTTGCCCTGGGGACAGTTTCAGCTGGCAAAGTGCCATCCGCCTCCGCAATTTTCACTGGCATGGAGATGGAGGCGTATTCATGCATCTACTGTTCAGTCCATCAGTCCTTGCTTAGTGTTGTGGACAGTGATGAAGACATCTGAAAGAGGATGTGCCTGTGTGTCACAGGCAGCCGTGCCTAGTCTTTCAGGCCTAGTATGGAAAAATACATCTATTTTTAAGATGGGAAAACAAAATTGCACATGATAAGCTTTAGATGAGAAATAATTTTGTAGTGATACTGTGATATCACTCCTGCTGCACTTCATTCCTGCCAAGTGCTTTCTATAATTAATAACTACCTCAGACGGAGTGACTTTCTTTTGAATGTGAAATATTAAACATTAAAATCTCCATCTGTAAATATAAGGCTACAGCAGATATCTCTACAAGCCTTGCAGCTAGAGACCAATGTGTATTTATATTTTATATAGACATTTTTAGAAAGAAGTACAAGTTCTTTATGTATTTGATTACATCAGAGCTCTACTTCACATTAAATGTTTGAACTGAAGAGACAACCCTTTCTTTTTGCGTCTCTTGTTAGAGTTTTGCATTAATATCTGTCGCAGCTCCTCCTCTCTTTTTCCTCTCATGCCTCCCTTAATGCATCCATGAGAGTTGTAGGTGTCTTTTTACCCCCTCTCTCCCTCCCAGAGAAGACAAAATACATAAAAAGAGGAGAAATAAAGCAGTGACGCAGCTGCTGCTGTTTCCCTCCTTGCAATTTTAGCCAGTTTGTAATCAGGGCACACTGAGATAACAACTACCACGACTCATTTCTGCGCATGATGTGACCAGCATCCTGCTGATACTGGTGGAAAGTTACTGGCAATGATCCCTGCTGGAAACCCCGACCCTGTGAGCATTAGTCACAATGTTTGCTTTGACGCATACCTTTCATCCACTCCCCTAACCTCATAGTAGCGGAGATCCTGCTGCGGAACACTCCACTACAGCCAGCAGGATTGAACTGGGTCCAAATCAGAACTTGCACAAGACGTTGGATTGGTTTCTTTTGTAGCTTTTCTTTTTTTTTTTCCTTATTTTTTTTGCCCAGTAATGGGGAGAATAATAGCCTTTTCCTATCTAATATTGCACAGTCTGCATCTGAACCACTGCCCTCTCCCTGTGGTTTTGGTACTAAGCGGGTGACCTGCCTTCCTGAGCCAGCTCAAGCTAAGACTGGATGCAAGCTGTGTTTCCAGAGGAAGGAGATGTCCTTAGAAATATGCACACACGCAGAGAAAAACCACAGTGGTGATTCCCACCAAGGCTGCACACCTGACATAGCCCCATAGTTTGAACAAGCCCAATGAACTCCAAACCCTCTAGCTTTCCTGATCCAAGGAATCACAAAGGAGCAGCTAGCAGGAGAGGCTTCACCCTCCAAAAATGCTACAGCTGGCAGAGCTGCCCTCTTTTGAGAGGGGCGGGGAAGGCAATTGCAGAATGACAGGTTGCAGGTTCAACACTCAACAAGTTGGTATTTAAAAACCCTTCCCAAAATTAAAGTCTGATGGGCTTTGATCTTTCTGTTCTGGGCAGAGGATGGATCTGCCTTCAGAGGTGCAGCTGGAAGCGAGTGATGCGCCATGCTCTGGAGCAGAGTCAAAGACCTAGGTTTGCTCAGGCAATCTGTTTTGTCTGTTGTACCCAGCCTGTGTTTAAATTTCTCCTTCTGTATGTCCACACTCATGCCATACAAAAGTCTGCAAGGGTTTAGAATTGCCAAGCAGTGTTCTGCATTTACAGCAAAAATAAATAAAAGCAATAACAGAAGCAGCATCCAGAGCAGTTTGATGCACCCAGGGTGATCAAACTTTGCACGGATTCCCAAAGACAACAGTTCAGTCTGCAACTTAGGACTAATCCTGTGTATGCAAATGAATGGTAATGCAACAGTATGTTTTGCACACCTAAGACATTATGCTAAGGGCTTCTCACCCTGCATAGTCAAGAAGCACTTTATAAATTCTTGAGGATAGCTTCTGTCTTTTGCTCTGCATGAGCTAAAGCAGATGTTCACTGCTCTGGGGACTGAGACGCATTAACAGGGGAGTCAGAGGTGATAGGACAGGACAGCCAGTACCAGCAGCAGAGTAGTGGTCCCACTAGAAAAAACTCCCGTTCTTATTGTGCATGCACCAGACGAGTCCCCCATACCTCCCCTTGGCAGTCGCTGCACAGTCCTTTTTCCTTTTTTTTTTTCTAGCTCTTGCATGGACTATTTTTGAACTCCCATATCCATGTCTTGAAACTTTTGCAGCTTTTTCCCTCTCTGACACTTCCCTCCTCTTCTTGGGGTGTTCAGGAGCTTGGTGGGCTGGAAACCAGCCAGGGACCTCCTCTTCTTGCAGCCTTTCTGCACCTTTCCTGGCTAAAGGATGAGCACACAAGGAAGACGCTGTGGGTTAAGGACTGGAAGATCCAACTTTATTTTCTAGATTCTCACCCAGGAAGAAGCCTCCACCTGGCCTCTTTGCATTCAAACCTGCTCAATACTGTCCATGCAATAGATTGAAGAAAGTTCATCCCATTGCATCACAGCACAGGACCTTGAATCCAGAGGGGAAATGCTCATGGGGATAATTTCTTCCTCCAGACATTGAATGTGGAATGGGAAAGGTTATCTGACCTCCAGATGAGACAGTGTTCCAGCCCAGTTACTGCAGTAACTCCTAAAGATTAGCTTTTCTGTGGCATTTTTTTCCCCGGAGATCTCAACTTTCCCGGGATGTCTCAGGGCAGATGCCTCTGTTTTACTGAAGCATGGGGCACTTCATTTCCAGGACCGCTTGTTCCTTACATCTGTCTGCGTCCCAGCCTTGCACTTGGACCTCCTCCAAGGAATGTGATACCCTGCCAAGGCTTTCTTGTAAACGCTGTTGAGATGGGCCTTGAGAAAAAAATTACCTCTGTGAAAGCAATGAAAATAAACCCTTTCTTATTCCTTATTATTATTATTATTTTACCGCAGAGGAGGTTGCTGGGATGGCACTAATGTTAATAAGGCACCTGCCTTGCTCTATACCCTGCTGTTGCATGGGGTCCTCTGCTCCCATTGAAGGAGCTCTGGTAATAACAAAAAAATAGGGTTCAAATCTCCCTCA